GTTATTGCGATTGGCAGCTTCTTAATATATTGATATATAAAATTACGCGATAATAAATCAAGGAATTCTCGTTTCCTGATTTTTTTCTTTAGTATGGGGAACATCGCGGTAACTTTAATTGAGTTTAGTTCGCATGTAAATTGTGCTTTATTGTAAGATCCAACCGATTTTGACAATGTTAATATAAATAAATTAAGTTTAACAGAGCTTATGGGATTGTGTAAATATTTGCATAGAGAAGAGATGAAGAATGATTATTTAAATAATTCATACATAACCTATATAGGAACAACTATTAATTGATAAAATAAGAATTAACTTTATAAATGGCAATGGAGTAAACATTACATTGATAAATGTGATTATAATATATTTAAATAAATGTACGAAAGTTTTCGTTTATTATAGTTACATATTGTTTTTAAAGCTAATGAAAGCGAGTGATAAATACATTTTATCTTGAATAGAAATAATAATTTTACAATGATATTAATGGTAAATTCTAATAAATCGTTTGATAATGATATATTCTCTTAGATAATATCGTATAATGTTAAAAATTTCTTTAAAGGGAATACAAACTGCGCTTATGTATTAAAAAATAGTCTCAATTATCACAGTTAAATTATTGAAATGTTAAGAAAAATTTGTCGATCACATGAATTTATTATCCATATAATTGCTTAAACGTAGAAAGATACGTCAATGAAAATTGCAAACTCTGTTGATTATTTCATATTTAATTACATGATGGAAACCACATTTTATTCATAAAAATATATAATCGATATTCTTATGATTTGTTATTTCATCTAATATATCAACGATATTCTACAATAACGGAAACATGCTGCTCTAATAAAAATATAGAATCATATTATGAACTAACTCCATGATTCTTTTATCCTAGTCGTTTTCTTAAAATATTTTCCATTTCTCATCTCTCACCCATCTCTCACCCCCTACTTTTTCTTTTCCCTATTCCTCGAATGGGACTCGCATTTTCAGATATCCTTTTTCCTCGGCCCTATGTTTTTCTACTGCCACCGACCGACTACGGAGATCGACTGGTAGTCAGTTCACGAGTGAACCTGTGTATGTGCCAAGTGTGCGCACGTATGTGTATGCGTTAGAGAGTTAATGCAGATAGAAGCATCTAGCTCGGTTCTCGATGCGAATGCCATTTTAGAGAAAGACTTTGCACATACATTGTACCTGAAGTATTGCAATGATAACAATAATAGTGGATAAATAATGCCAATAGGAAAAGTAACAATAATGATGATAATATAATCAGTAGGTGATGGCAATTGATAATATTGTTATTATCATTACAATTATCATTTGTAATTATTATCATTGTTATTGTTGTTATCATTATTAGCTAAATTATTAATAAGCATTTTTTTCACAATGCTTTGATAAAACAAAAATAATAATAATAAATAATAATAATAATAATAATGAAACGGTCATTAGGTTCTATAACATTATGAAGACATTAACCTGTTATAGCCTATATAGGATCTGAGCGGTTACACTATAAATTTTGTTAAATAGACTGTAACAATCATCATATATGTTTAGTTGCACAGTTCATCGCAACTACAATCATACGCCATGTATCCGCTATTTAAACGGATAATAATATAGTTTTCGCTAAAGTCCTACCCTCGGGAGCCGCTTATCTCCCCATTTTTCGCATTAGACGACACGACTGCGTGAGCGCTCACGCACACAGCACATTACTTCTTTAACAACCTTAACCTCCTGTGTCTCTTTTTCCCGAGAATGTCGCGGCCGTTGCTTATCGTTCATTAAGATTCGCCGACGCAGCGACGAGAATCCAGTCCAGGAAACCTGATACGCATGTATCCTATGTGCGCCACGTGTCTAAAGCCGCGCGCGACCTTACAGATTCGCATCTATGGGCGAGCCTCGAGGAATGTCTGGGTAATCTTTATTCGAGCGACTTTTCGTGCACGCGAGTGGCAATTGCGCGTTTTACTCCGATTCGGTTTCCTCGCCTACCATTGCTTTCTTTTTTCCTCTTTCTACGCCAACAACGTGGAATACGTGTGCGCGTACTGTTTTTACACTGGCTTTTTTCGAGGTGAAATCACTGAGGTTTGAATTTTCCAACCAGTTTTGCATGCCGCACACAAATTCCTAGTGTCTGTATTGTACTTACTTGCCTTTTATATGGAAATTTCCAGATAGCTTGTATGCTTTATTCTTTTACCCAAATCTTCAGTCATATCTTATGTCTTCTCTTACTCGACTTTCGCCAAACATAACTCGGCTTCTGCTTCTTCTATCTGAAGTTTTCATAGTGACTACTACTCTTCCATTTCAGTATTTTCATAATAGCATTTTTCGTTTGAATAGCGAGTTTAGTGCATTAAAATTTTAAATTTACTATTTAATAGCCCCTGCAGAGATCAGAGATTTACAATGATATATATATATATATATATATATATATATACACACATACATACATATAATTATTAAAAAATAACAACAACAAACAAGAAAAACAACGCCAACAACAATGGCTCTAATAATATCCTTTCTCTTTGGATTATACGAAAAAAGTTTAATGAGATATTGCACGTACTTCCCGAATACTTGAATGAAAAATCAAAATCAACGCAATAAGAATAGCTGGTGTTGAGCATAGTTATTAGTAGATAATTTATTGTACGACCGACTATGTTTTATCGTCGTGCATGATAAATTTTATGATTAAGTAATGATTGTTAGAAAAATAAATTCCTGCAATTATCTTATAGAATTTTTCGAGCATATAGAATATTATAATTTATCTATTCTCGTCGAGTTATTCATGCAAATATGACCGAATCAAATAATTTAGGCGATCGCAAATCTACTAGATACAACCTTACTAGAGACAACTGGAGCGCAACATTTTTATTTATTGCTACAATCTCTTTAATAGCATTGCAACCGTTATAATAATTTATTAATGATATATACTGACGTACGTTTAAATTTCAAATATATCCCAACAAAGTCAATCCAGCTACAATGACAAAGTCTTAACTTTATATTTGTATAAATTAAATGATCTGCCGATATCGATCGACACATCGATTTTACGTTCAGTTTCACACTACACTTACTCATGTTAACCGAGTTCCGTAAAAAAAAAAAAAAAAAAAAAAAAAAAAAAAAAAAACCAAGTCAAGGAAATTCGAGAGCAGCAGAAAAATATAAGAAATCATCGGAGTGTGTGTGTGTGGTTGAGGATGAGTCGATCAAATGCAAAATGGTTGAACCTTTGCCGAGCCATGAACCGGGGATACTTATCTCTGAAAATGCGTGTTAATACGAACTCAATTGGCTTTTACTCGCAGCTCATAAAGAAACAGGTGCAATCGACTGCGCCGACGTACATGCGTTTCACTAACATTTCGCCGCTCGTTTACGAATCATGTGGTTTTTATAAAGAGATGTTTGTGCTTAAGCGTTGTCTTCCACACGCGCACTCGGGATCGTACATTGGTTGCACACTCCTCAGCCAGCAACCACACGCACGTGCGCACATATCGCGAATATTTAATAGCGCTTTAAAAACTTTAAGGCGCTTTTAAATATTTACACGAAGCCGATATTGAAAACGGGCAAGAAAATTTTCCTGTCCTCGAAGGAACGAGATGTGTACCGAGTTTTAGAGCGTCAGTTCCACGGTTTACCGTGCGCATTACATTTACTTTATAAAAGCACATTATTATTATATGTTTATGAAAATTTTCCATACTTGTGTTGCTCGTATCTTTCGATGATTAGTAAGTATTTTATAACTGTGTAAACGAACCTTTACATATAATTGCTCATATCGACGATCAATTATTATTTGTCCATCACATTTATTGAAATCATAAATATAAGATTAAATGGCTTTAATACCTATTGAAAAATTTTATATTCAGTGGCAATTTAATTTTTATAAAATCCGACTGATCTACGTAAATTTAAATTTATATATCGATAAATGCACAAATATTATATATAAATATAGAATGTTGGCATTGCGCAAAATAGCCTATTGTTTATGGGAATGAGATACAAGAGAAAATAATAAAAATATAATTTCACGTTTAATTGTAAAAAGTCTGTGACAGCATAAGCTAATGCGTAAGGTATTTGCATATTAAATATAGAATCGATGTTATTACGCAAGGAAGTGCTTATAATTTTTTATTAATCGTAAATGGTAAGAATATATATTTATTTACTTATCTGTAAAATATACGCTTAAATATAATATAATTGGATATAATTTTATCATAATCAAGTGTTCAACAAGGCATGTTATCGCAGTCAAAATTCATGTTCCACTAATAATGCTCGAATTTATATTCTCCAATATCTTTCCTATCAAATTATTAATAAACCTTATCACTTACATTTGATGCGAAATTAAATCCGCGCATAGCGTAAATCGTTATATTAAGTAAGAATTTCGAATTATTTATGGAAATTTCGTGTATTATCACTAATTTCGGCCCGTATCTCAGCAATTAATTCATATTTAGCGAGAAATGATAGATCTCATGCGATTTCCAATTACTGATTGTGTTTAATTTGGAAAATAGAGTACTGTAACATTAAATTTTATTGAAATGGCTTTCAGTAATCGTCGATATGTTTATTACTATTTTGAAAATATTTTAATACAGGATTGCTCGACCATACAGTTTTTACTTTATATAACTGTAACTAACGATTGACCAACCGGATTATTATTAGTATATGAAAAGACATTTTATTACAACTAATAATCGTTTAATGATTTTTATAGAATGCCTTCTTAATCTTTCAAACAAATAGTTGTTTCACAACTCTAGAGTGCTTGTAAGGTGGCATTAAAAATAATCAGATACATGAATAATATTAAAATTATACTAATTGTTGAAACAAGTGAAATGGCACATTACCCTTTTGTTAGAAAAATTGAAGTAGAGTTAGCGTTTATCATGGTAGTGGTTAAGCCTGAGTCGAAAAATCTCTGAAATCTCCGAGGAGGCTGCCCAATGGGCGCATACTACGGAAACTCGCTTGAAGCTCCTCGTCGAGGAAGAGGAGGCTGCTGCGTTATCATACTAACAATTTCATGTCTTATGGGAGATCTGATGCTTCCTCAGCATACTCGTGATTCTACAGTCTTCAGCTTTAGCAAATAAAACGTATTATACACGTCATTTACTCACGTAATATGATTATATGCCCTAAATAGTAAAAAGTAACATCGCATAAACAGAATTTTTTATTAATATTTATATAAGAGTAAACGGCACTTTTTGGATATTTGTAGCTTCTAATTTGTAGTTTCTAATAAAATCCTGATATTGTTGACGAAACTTATGGAACGTGGTATTATTATTACTTTTGTTATTATTATGATTATCATCATCATCATCATCATTATAATTATAATAATTATTGTTATTGTTATTGTTATTGTTGTTGTTGTTGTTGTTGTTGTTATTCTTTAAACGGAAATATTAATATAGGAAAATGATATTAATAATGGTCAAAGAAGGAAATTTAATATAAGTATTGATATTTCTTTCGTACGCTAATTGATATTTGATAATGTCTAGACATTTTGGACAAGAATGTTTGTGTAACTTTTATGGGAACAGTAAATAAAATCCAGATAGGAGAAATCCCTAAGATTACTTATACTGCATCCGAAAGTACAGCGTTGAATTAAAGTGCGCTTATCTTGCAAGAAAGTACCATCAGTCTGAGACAAAGCGCTGACAATTTGAAAGGAACTCTACACTTTATATAAGTTTAACTTAACTACAATTCTCTCATAATTATTTTAAAATAAAGTGCCACTTTATATTGGAGATAAAATACTTGCTTTGTCAGAATATGTAAAAATGTTTAAAGCCGGTCGGCAACTTTTATTTTTATAGTAGAGAGCGAAAGCTCATAATGAATGAAGTGTTTCTTATATATTTGTTTTATACAAATTACGTGATTTTATAAGTAAAATAATGAAATTGTAGTACTTTAAGTTTATTCGGTTAGTGTTTAGTTTACCACATTTATGGCGATAAGTAAGAAATTTATTGATAATAAAATGTTGATGTACATTAGGCTTAAATATAGTATATAAGCATAATAATATATTTTTATTTATATTTTATAAATTTACATTTTGTTTTTGTAAGATTTTTTTTAATAGCATTTTAAATATTTGAAATTATCCTGCTCTACTTTAAGTAAATGAAATATTTCCGAGTATAGTGAGACATTTATAAACATGTCAATGATCTTTATCATCAAAATATGTATCAATTTTAATTATAAAATGTATACTTAATAGTTGATGAAGTTTGAAATTTTTTTATTTCTATCCAGAAATACAAATCATATGTGTGTGTGTGTGTGTGTGTGTGTGTGTGTGTCTGTTTGTACTTAAAATTTGTTTTTAAAATTATCAGAATGTGCATGGTTTTATTTGTATATTCATAAAACGTGACGAATATATGTAAAATTATATATCATCTGATGAATTTATCAAATGGTAAAACAATAACTATTCCTTCAATTCATGTTTTTAGAGTGGACGTTCGCAATTACGTAACTCTCTCTCTCTCTCTCTCTCCCTTCCATTTCCTATGGAATATTTCAAATTCACTACAAGGATAAATTAATTTTCTAATCATAGTTACATTACTAATTAAGTTTAAAATTCAAGCTATTCAATTTAGCGAAAATGTACATACACCATAATAATTTGACACAACATAAACTTAAGAAAGTAGTTGGATATGATTAATTACTATGAAATGAAAATATAAAATGTAATAATCCACTTAGTTAATAACATTTTGGAAACGCATTATATTATCGCACTGAAATCTTGATACATAATTAACAGCCTTTAAAAGTTGCTTATACTCAGGCAAAGTGAACTCACTTTTATAAGCATTAATTTAATATCGTTCATTAAGGCACAAAAATTATTCTCGATATTATTAATACGAACATTGTCGACATTTTTCATTCTTTGATCTTGAGAAAATAACAAATCACTAAGACTAGACAATGAATCAATCGGTACCCAATAGAGAGAAAAAAAAAGAAAAAAGAAGGTACAAAAAGTGGCGCCTCTGTACTTAGTCTACGTCGAGGGAAAATACTTCGTTACTAACGAAAAGGTATCATGGGTATTTTTCCACCTTTTTCCTTGCCGTAATAAACGAGCCGACTCGACGACCCACGAGTTTATTTACGAAAAAAGTTTATTCATTTTCGGGGCACTGATTCACCCGACTACAAATAGCAAAGATCATTTAATAATATTTGTTCCTCTTGCTAATTTATGCAGCTTGAAACGGGCTAAGGCTAACGTGCAAGGATTAGCTCCAAGTTCATTGACTGAAGTCTTCTGCAGAGCAGGAAGATTGTAAGATGAAATAATTTTAACGACCTAACGGCATAAATAACGTCCGATGACGTTTAAGATAATATTTTTTTTTAACATTTTAGAAGCGAGTGTACACTACATTACAATCGGACGCTCTCTTCTCGGGACCGAGAAGTTCGTTGGTTGTTTAATTTTTGCGTTTGTCTCTTTCATTAATGGGGAAAAATCGCTTGGATTGTTACATTAAGATAGCTACGTTTTTTTTAAGAATTTTTTCCCCATTTATTTGCAATATACAGAGATTATAAAGAATAAATTTACCATTAAATAATCGATAGTTAATAATATTATAATGATCGAGATGTAATTAAACGGGCTTGAATTGATTTTCAAAGAATACACAATTTATCGCCGTAGTTTCAGTATTAATATTTATATAAAGTTTCGACGAAATATTTTCGTACTACATCTCGATTTATTGGGATGAAATTCCGCTTATTGACGGCATTGTATTAAAGTATTTAAAGGAATTTCATGCTAATAAATATGAAGATAATGAAATGCTCGTACATGTACTTATTCGCATAAAAATACAGTGGAAATAATGAATTTTCAATAATCATAAATTACGGGACTTTACACGAGTCGGGGAGAATATTTAATTGAGCCAATTGTTACAGCATCGCATTATTAAAAATGACAGAACAATAGTACATCATCCGACAGTTCGCAGTGATGCAAAACAATGTCTTACGCTACACGAGAACTTAGATCAAAAAGAACAAAAACTTAGATGAATATTACTGGGATAGCATCGATTTTTTTTTTACCGCTAAATTGTCACGAAAATCACACCTATCATTAGCGATATCGATCGAAAGGAGGTTCAATGACGTCGTCGACTGCGAGGAGGGAACGCAAATGCCAAAGGACGGAAATATCGTAGGGGCTATAGCTTAATCAACAATAATTAACATCGGGCTGGGAGAGAAACGAAGAAAGAAAGATCCGAATAAAAGTGTCCGTTTTGCTGGCTGGGGAAAAATTGCATATTACGTAGGGCAATAGCTCTCGGGTGTAAGTGAATGAGCCCACTGACGGGAGCCCACCGACGGGAGCCCACCGTGGCAATGAAATGAGCTCCTCGGAGCGAGTTGAGCGGAAAATGAAGACGTCAACGTCCGAGGTGAAATTGGCCGCAGAGTCACGTCGGCTCATTAGCCGTGCGCGACGAGTCCGAGCCGCGCATACCAATCGCCGAACAATAAATTGCGCGATTTCTTTTCGCGCGCGTGCTACAAAAAAAGCTCCCCTCGCAAGCTCGTTTAAGTGACGCGGGAGCGCGTCTTTTAAGGCCAGAGACGCGAGCCTCCGAGCGGGGCTTCACTATATCGACTATTAATGTGCGTAACTCGACGCGCCTTGACTCCATGTTGACGTCTCCGATTGCCAGTGAGATTGAGCGCTTTTTGCCCGTTTCTTACTTTTCTTTTTCATTCTTTATATTTCATATTATTTTATTTTATTTTTTAATTACGGACGGTTATTATCGATGAGTTACGACATGATTGTGCGCATTGTGTGGCTTTTTGAGCAATTCTTTAGCGAGACGGTTTGGAGGATTAGCCCTAATGACCCATTATTCAATACTTTTCTCAAACTTTCATTAAATGTCCTTCGCAATGGAAATCTCACATTTGATTAGCTCGATAAATTCTATGGAAATAATAAGGGAACATATTTAAAGGGCATTTTTAATAAGTCGCCATTCGTGGTAAAGAGCTCACGATTTTGTTGTTTAGCTTATCCAGCGATACTAATAAACTCTTCAGTTTCGTTTAATCACAGGCGCCAATTTCACGAGTATTGTAGGAGAATTGAAAAATTGCCGTTAGAATAATATGCTATTGAAATTATTTGAATTTATCATACGTTTGTTCGCATTATAAATATTCTTTTCATTCAAGGCGAATATTTAACAAAAAATTAATTCTCTTTTTTAGGTGGACACTGTAATGGCTTATAATTTAAATTCAGTTTAACTAATTACGCAGCCGTTGAGATGAGAGATGGACAAATATGTAAAATACCCTTGCTTATATGTGTTGAAGTTGTAAGATGGACAAATCGGCATGGAATTTACGTAGGTCAAATAAACAACTTGTTTAATAATCCACGACTCGTTTTTTTTTTTTTTTTTTTTTTTTTAAAAAACGATACCTGTACATTTTAAAATACAGTAGTACATGTTTTGTTTGTTAAGTCTTGCCTGTCTCTACGATGTGGTGTGATATTGATAGAAAATGCTTATAGTTCTTGATATAAGAACCGACGGATAATATAAAATGCTTCATTAAAACTCGAAATTCTAAGATTTTACTTTGGAAAATAGATCGCCAAATTTATTGAAACGCGAAGAAAAATTAGATCGTTTTTTTTTTTTTTTTTTTTTTTTTACAGATTATCTATTTAATGTTTATATTACGTGATATTTAAATGATAAAAGATAAAATAACTATTGCCTTTCAAATTTTGAATATGCTCATAAATTTTTCTTATAATGTATATACGAGGATATATTCCTTTATGATAATCCAGTTGAACAAATTTCAATTTATAATTAATTACATGACAGCGATTTGTTAACAAGATTTGAAGCCAGATTTTTTTAATTTTTATCAAAACATTCAATTTAACATTTCGACATCACACATTTAAGAGATATTTATATAAAATAATGTTTATAGCAATTTATTCATCGTGTAAAGTTTTCATTATTATAT